GACGACTTTTAGATTCCAAACAACTCACAGCCAGAAGACTCTGGTTTATTTCTGCGCCTTCCATCTTTGTCTGTCTGTCTGAGTCCCTGGCATCTGCTGCTCTCTCACTGCCAGCCAGATCAATGAAAGAGATCCTAGAAAAAAAGACACAGCAGGGACGACTTATTTGGGGCTTTGGTTTATTTTCATAATAGTGACATTTTGTGACCTCAGGAAGAAATGGAGTATGGCTCATCCTCGGGAAGTAAAGGACATTATTGTTAGTCTTCCAAAAACATCACAAGATCCTGATGTGTCAGCTGGAGCCAGCACTGCTCGCTTAGACATGTCTATTGGCTCTACTCGTTTGTGAGGAAGTATGACTGAAATTAATAAAGCATTTCCCCACAAGGCTAAGTGACCATAATGCAAATCAGTTAGGTGACTATTTAGATAATTAAATAGAAAGTTCTATTGGCTATTTTCTAACAAGAAAGGATGAAAAAGAAGAGTGCGACTCATTACTCAGAGGTGAGATAGGCTCATCCATCAGCATGGCAGAGTTTGCTAAGACAGCACCAGAAAAGCAATGAATGTACCCAATTGTCTTACATCTTCTTTCAAGAAGAATGGATCCCCACCCCCATTTATGGCCTGCAAGCTCTCTGAGATGCAGAACTTGCTGTTTCTCTGCTGATACTGTGTTTCACTTTAGAAGTAATCAATGTCCCTTTTAATAACTTCGGGTTGACCAACAATAGGTCATTACTTCATGGTTAATCAACTGATGGCACTTTATACAATGATTTATTTCAGGGCTAACACTGCTTACTCTATATCCCTGCAATGAAAATCCAAGGTGGCAGGGTGTCTCATGTAGAGCATTTTTATTTCAAAGTCACATATGGAAAGACAGACAATGCAATTCTGCACATAGTTCCAGCTCACCTGCCAAATGTCCTCTTGACTGAATCTTTGATCTGAATTTGGATAATAGCGTGGGATCGGGAGGAATCTGCATTGACGCCAGTGGCCCCAGTGCTGCGCTCCTTGCTGCCCTTTAAGATCACCTGAAAATAAAATGCACAGAATGACTTCCTCTGGGAGAAAACAAAAGCCCTTTGGCTCCAGAAAGTTGGCTAAGTAAGCAGCAGAGACTAGGCATGTAATTTTGTTAGCATAATGCAGTTTTTGATGTCCAGGTGGAAGTCTGCCCAGACACTAAATCACATAGAGTAAGTACCAACAGCAGTGAGAACAATGTGGAATACTAATCTTGTGGGAGAACATTCAATGGCTCAAGAGCTAATCTACTTCTTAATCTTATGCACTCTTTTTAATATCTTTGATGGATCTAGCCTAACTAAGATCCCCAGGGCAAAACTTGGCTCAGAGCAAGGTCTCATAGCATTCATCTAGCTTAGTAACTGAAGCAAAGGACAGAAGTGTACATCACAGAATGACTGATCACATCCACCTGCTCTACCAGGATGCAGGCATGAAGGAGGCCAAACCTGATATTCAGGAACAGGGAAGTGAGTTATTTCATGTGCCTGTAACTTCCCTTGACTCCAGAACTCCCTTACCTTTGCCTGGGAGTCAAGGCTAAGTGGGATTTTTTGGCCACAAAGGAGTGGAGGAGGGGAGGATAAGTCTCAGGCCCCCAGTGTCCAAGCAAGTAATATGTTCACATACCCTGATTTTTAAAATTCTGGCACAGTACTGTGCATGCCATCCTTGATCTGAGAAGCAGTGGTACTGTGTACAGTCTCTACCTTCCATACACAACTGAGATCCACCAAGGATGCATCTTCCTGTATGGATCTTCACAAAGCAATGATAAAAATATGAGCAGGTATCACAAGTCTTGAGAAAAAAACCTGACTATATAAAGTAGTTATTGGGCTACAGAGATGGCTTGGTGGCTAAGAGTTTGCTGCTCTTGAAGAGAATTGAGCTTGGTTTTCAGCTTCCACACAAGGGGTGGAGACTTGCACTCCTCTGTAACTGTAGTTCCAAGGTATCTGATACCTTCTGGCCTCTGTGGGAACCTTCAACCACGTCATAAATTCACACAAATATACACATAAACATAAATGAAAATAAATCTTTTTTTAAAATTTATTTTTGTATGCATTGGTGTTTTGCCTGTTTTGCCTATGTTTGTTTGAGGGTGTCAAATCCTCTAGAACTGGAGTTACAAGACAGTTGTGAGTTGCCATGTGGGTGCTGGGAATTGAACCTGGGTCCTCTAGAAGAGCTGTCAGTGCTCTTTAACTGCTGAGCCATCTCTCCAACCCCAAAAACAAATCTTTTTTTTTTTTTTTTAAAGATTTTTATTTATTTATTATGTATACAGTCTTCTGCCTGCATGCCAGCAGAGGGCACCAGATCTCATTCAAGGTGGCTGTAAGCCACCATGTGGTTGCTGGGAATTGAACTCAGGACCTCTGGAAGAACAGTCAGTGCTCTTAACCATCTCTCCAGCCCCCCAAAACAAATCTTTAAAAAATAAAAAAACGATTGGAATGATTTAAGTCCGGAAATCCCTAATTGACTGACCAAAAAAAAATTAATTAATTTAAAAAACACAACAACAAAATCTTGAGGTGCTGGAGAGATGGCTCAGCAGATAAGCACTTGTTCCTCTGGCATAGGATACAGTCTCAGTTCCCATCACATAGATACATGCAGGTAAAACACTCACACATAAAATAAATATAAATAGGTTCTTTCTTGTTTTAAAGATTCATTTGTTATATATACAGTGTTCTGTCTGCATGTTTGTCTGCAGGGCATAAGAGGGAACTAGATCTTATTAATGGATGGTTGTGAGCCACCATGTAATTGCTAGGAATTGAACTCAGGACCTCTGGAAGAGCAGCCAGTGCTCTTAACCTCCCAGTTATCTCTCTAGCTCCCCTAAACAAAGTTTTTTTTCTTTTTTTTCTTTTTCTTTTTTTTAAGAATAATAAAAAAATCTTGAGTCCATATATGGGCAGTATGTCAAGGCAGTTAGTTCAGTCCTGGTGTCTGCACTGGTGAGTTGAGTTAGTCAGAGACCTGGAAGGGTAAATTTCTGGGAGAAAGGAGAATCCTGTTTGAAAAATGAAGCTGCCAGTTGTGCCAGCAGTATTGGGTAGCCATGCTGGAGTGAGCCTGAGCGTTAACTGAGGGTAAAACTTGAAGATGACACTTGAACAAACACATGGGTGACACCTGAGTGGCACCAACAATGACATCTGAGAGAGTAGGTGTAACATTTAAGTAAGTAAGTGCTGTGCTTTCCAGTCAGTAAATGTTTATGAGAGTAACTGTATCAGGTATGCATAATTCATTCTAACTTTCTACCTAGATCTCTGATGTCTTCCTGATTGTAGTTTTGTAGACTAGGGGGATCAATGACAATAAACAGTAGCAAGTTAACAAAAATCTTCATGCTTTTTTAAGGAACAGTACTTTAGGATAAGACAATGCCATATACTTTTCCAGGAAAGGCTCATGTGACACAGACTGCCCTTTACGCACAGTTGTGGGGCTGGGGGTGTAGCTCAATTGGCAGAGTGCTTGCTAAGCACGTGTGTGGCCCTGGGTTTGATCCGTAGCATTGCAGGGAGGAAATAGCACAGCTGTGGCTCCAAGTATGGAAAAGAGATTTCCCTAAGGTGTTTGTTCCTTCCCCATTTAAGAATCCCAAAGACTAGAGTCACCTCAAACTCCTCAAGGAATGTCTGGGGAAAGTAGGGCAAGAAGATGACAAAAAATACATGTGAGAGAAACACTTTCCTTCCAACTCCATAGCAGAGGGCATTCTGGACAGCTTGTTCTGTGCCTGCCTTTGTAACGGGTACAAAGGGGCTTTTATCTGCTACAACAGCCACACAGATGCTATCTTCCTTCAGATTTCAGATCCCAAGACACAGGAATGTCTTCAGATCCCAAGCACACAAATATGCTCAACCCTCAGAGAAAGCAAAACCTAACTATTTATCTTGGGAAAAAAAACTTAGAAACTAAGGTATTATTAATTATAAGTTGCCTCACCATTTCACACAGTATTTAAGATTTATTTTTAATTATGTTTATCTGTGTGTGCATATGTGTACTTGAGAACAGGTGCCCAGGGAGGCCAGAGGTGTTGGATCTAACACAAACTGGAATTACAAGTGTTTGCGACCTGTCTAGCTGTTGAACATCTCTCCAGCCCAATACAACCAAGTCTCCTCTTCAGCTCCCCTCTTTTTCTTGTCTCATTATACAGCTCAGATTGGCCTGGTTTATGATCCTCCTATCTCAGCTTTTCAAGTGTAGGATTATAGGCATGCACCACCATTACCAGCAATTTTTTAAAAAAAAGATTGATTTATTATTTACTATGTATACAGTGCTCTGCCTGCATGTATGCCTGTATGCCAGAAGAGGGCACCAGATCTTATTATAGATGAGCCACCATGTAGTTCCTGGGACTTGAACTCAGGACCTCTGGAAGAACAGCCAGTGCTCCTAACCTCTGAGCCATGTCTCCAGTCTACCAGCAGATCCTTAATACTTTGTTTTGAAAAAGCAGTAACAAAATTCCCCAAACACCCTATTATTTGTGGTTTAAAACAGTCTGTAAATGTTCGATTTTAAGCAAACAACCCAGAAGACACTGCTATAAATGTATTAATTCAGTGAATAATATTTGTTTTTACTTTCTTAAGAAAAACTGATCCCTAATAATCCTCAATAGATAATGAAGTATGGTTAAAACGGTGCTTCAGAGTTGATAAATCTGAGCTGGAAGCTGGCTCTTTCAGCCCTTGGCTCTCTGATGACCAGCTTCCAATTTTAGCTTCAGTTTGCTCATCTGGAAGATAAGCTTTATAATACAGATCTTACTTTAAGGTGATGAATCACATCATATTTGGGGGGAAAAATCTCTCACCAAATATCTGTTAGATAGTTAACTGTTCAGTAAACATTTGCAGTTAACATTAAAACATAATGAGAGTAGGGTGTGGTGGTTTACACATTTAATCCCTGGGCTTGGCAGGCAGAGGCAGGTGGATATCTGTGAGTTCAAGACAAGCCAGGTCTACATAGTGAGCTCCAGGAGAGCCAAGACTACATAGACACCTTGTCTCAAACAAAAACGCAAACAAAGAGCTAGACATGATGGCTCACACCTGTAATCATTTTACTTGAGATCTGAGGATCATAAGTTCAAGGTCATCCTTGGAAGCCAGCTTGAGCTATATATGACCTTATTTAAAAAAAAGTTGGAGTACATTTCCTATGGAGAGATACCCTGCTCAGCCTAGACACTGGGGGGAAGACCTTAGTCAGGCTTCATCCAACAGACTGCTTTGACTCCCCATGGAGGCCATACCCTGAGGAGCAGATGGGGGATGGGGTAAGGGGGAGATGAGGGGAGCAGCATGAAGGGAGGGAGGGAGAACTGAGATTGACATGTAAAATTAAAAAAAAAAAAACAAAATAAATTTTTATTAAAAAAAGCTATATTTTTAAGCAAAGAAAAGGGCCATGAATGATCTAATGTAAAGCTGGGGTTGAGCCAGGATAGCCCAGAGCTCGGTGGCAGAGTGCTTGTTAGTGTAAGGCTTTGTGTTTGATCCCCAGCATCTGCTCCCCCAAGAAATCCAGGCTTGAGGATCAATAAAAGAAGGTTCACTAGAAATATATTTGTACATAAATCAATAAATGACCTCTGACAAGAAAAAAGCAACAATCAATTAATAGTGGATATCACAGAGACTGTTTCTGTGTGTTAAGGAGACTCAAAGGGCTCTTACTTTCTACCACTTTATGTATTTTTGTAATGTTTAGATTTAACAGTGAACAAATATTATATTTGTTATAATAAATGGATACTTTTTAATAAAGTACACTTCAAAAATCCTTTGGAAGAATACACAAAAACTAATAAAATTAGTTGCCTTGGGAGCAGGGAATGAAACAGGTATTTTCCAATTCTTTGGATTTTGAGAGCATGTGAAAGTATTGCTTATTAAAATTTTATTTAAAATAAGAACACTTGCCTCTATCAGCCTTCTCCTAAGCCCACTGCCACAGAAATTATAATTGCAGCCTTTGAAACTGGCCCAAGAGCATCTTTGCCATGCATTTGTTTCTGCCACAAGCTGTCTCCCACTCTAGGACACTGGAGAAATAAGCTAACTTCAAAAGGTGGCTCACATTTCACAAATGTGAGTGGCATCACTACACCCTTCCCCCCCTCACCTTTATCTGAGCCATCACACTTGCTAGGAAGCAAAATGAAGTGTTTCCCCTGGGCTGAGGCTGCTGTGTGTTGTAAGGAGGAAGAATGAATTACCTGTAGAAGGAGCTCCACACTGTCCACTTGGAGCTCTCGAAGGCCAGCTATCTGCACCACATGCTTGCTATCTTCTCTTGCAAAAAGCCTGTGGATGAGAAAGACTGTGGTTGTCTTGCTTTCTCAAAACCTACGAATGTCCCATTACATAGTTTTGCCATTTGGATGGGAGGGATATGCTTCCCCTCCCCAGCCCTACCTTCAGATTACCATGGTGGTCCTTCCTTGTTGTAAACAAATCAGTATCTTGATTAAAATAAAAAGAATGAACATAAAACCCATATATATTCCAAACCATGGATGGCACAGTCCTGGCTAGTAATCAGTGCAATGGTGGATGCAGGATCTTTGCTGTCTAATCAACTACGGCTCTGGTCTCCACTTACTCTCTTGAAGAGAAAACATGAAGTCCTGGGAGCAGCAGCAGCTATTCTCTATCTACAAGAACTAGCTTCAGGATGAAGGTAGCAAATAGAGGTAGAACAGAGAGATGCAAATTAACCATGTTATATCCCTGAGCAAGGAGCAGAATGTCCCTGAGGCCTTCCTAGCCCCAAGTTATCTGAGTCAATGATTTCTCTAAATACAGTATAGGGCTGGGGTTTTTTGTAACTGGAGTCCTGATACATATTTTTGTTTTGTTTGATACAGGGTCTCACTATGTAATTTAGATAATTCATTAAAGAGTTATATTCTGAAACAGCTGGATAGTCTCTTCATAAGACACACTTGAGTTCATGCACACACAAGTGCGCGTGCACACACACACACACAATCACATGTACAATAGTGACTTTTACTGAAAAGAAGTAGGCATTATGACTACAGAGAGCTTTGAGGGGATTAGGAGATAAGGCAAAGTTTCACTGTGTAGTCCAGGCTGTCTTTGAAAATGTGATCCTCTTATCTCAGCCTGCTAAGTGTTAGCATTACAAGGTCTGTGCTACCATTTCTCTCTCTCTCTCTCTCTCTCTCTCTCTCTCTCTCTCTCTTTCTCGTGTGTGTGTGTGTGTGTGTGTGTGTGTTTGTGTGTGTGTGTGGTGTGTCTCTCTGTCTCTCTTTATACGGAGGATTGAATTCAGGGCCTTACACAGGTTAAGTGTTCTACCACACAACTACACTCTCCACTTGGAAAGGGCTTTTAATGAGGGTGCTTGGGGTTGACAGAAAAGCCACAATTGAGCTACATAGAGACTTAAACGCCACTACAAAGATGGTGAATGAGAAAAGTAACTCTTGTCCAAAGTATTCACTGAGTAGCACTACCTTCATTTGACAGTTATGTTTCAGAGATGAACCCTGAACACTGTGTTTTCTCTCAACTGTGACACACCAGCATAGATCTTTGTTGGAATGGTCAACAATGCAATGACCTGTCTACACACACTGCTGGTTTCTTCAGTTATGCTACCTAAAACCCTAGTGCCCTCCCTGCTGGAGCCTTTCCCATTGTGGTCTCCCTACTCAACAGGAACTGTCCCACCCATGAACCTGAATGCCACATTGGCCACCTCCACAGCGGCTTGCACACCTTCCCTAGCTTTCCACCACACTTCACTTCCACTCACCCCTCCCCACATGGGCCAGGGTTTGTTTACCCTGCTGTGACAGTCCTCCTTCACCTTCCTATGCTCCAGCTAGTAGATCCCTTCACATCCTTGTTGCCTGCTGTTCAGTTTAAGTCACATGTTTATTCTAGAAACATATATAATAGGCCACCGATACACTTATAGATTACTTTTAGGTTATAAGAGCAATTGGAGGTAGGACAGCTTCTGCCATCAAGCTTGACAATCATGAGTTTCATCCCTTAGGTCAGTGGTTCTCAACCTGTGGGTCGCAACCTTTTGGGGGGAGGATGGAATCATCCTTTCAGAGGGGTCACCTAAGATCATCGGAAAACACATATGTTTATATTGCAATTCATAACAATAGCAAAATTACAGTTATGAAGTAGCAACAAAACTAATTTATGGTTGGGGTCCTGACAACATGACAGACTGTATTAAAGGGTGGAAGCATTAGGAAGGTTGAGAACCACTGTCTTAGACACACACAGTAGAGAGAGAAATGACTCCTACAAATTATTCTTTGACTTCCACAACCCCATCATGGCACAAGTATATCTACATACACACACATACACATGTGCCTACAAAATAAAGAAATTAAAATCTAATTTAAAACTCAGATTGAGCCGGTTGTTGGTGGCGCATGCCTTTAATCCCAGCACTCAGGAGGCAGAGGCAGGCGGATCTCTGTGAGTTCGAGACCAGCCTGGTCTCCAGAGCGAGTGCCAGGACAGGCTCCAAAGCTACAGAGAGAAACTCTGTCTCGAGAAAAAAAACAAAAACAAAAACAAAAAAACCTCAGGCTGATTCCCAGAATCACACGACAGCACAGCTAACTGTCTGTAATTGCAGTTCCAGGGATCCTGATACCCTCCCCTCTTCTGGCCTCCATAGGCACAAAACATGTATGTAGTTCAAAGACATATAGGCAGGCTAAATACTCACATACATAAAATAAAAATAAATTTAAAAAACTGAATTGAAATTGAAGAGAAATCTTTTTGCCAATTTCAGAAAACCGTCATTAAGTTTACACTAACATTATTTAAAGGGAAAATATTTAAATAGATGCTGATTTCCTGACTTTCTAAACTAAAATCTTTTTCACAGGAAAAAAGGGGGATGAGTCTTGGGAGATACTAAATTTTTTCTTCTAAAAAACACTAATGGAAACTGAAGATGTAGCTCAATAGCAGAATGCCTGCAAACATATGTAAAATGCTGGGTTCAATCCCCAGCACCAAAAAGATATGAATGGATGGCTAATTTACATTTTTCTCTAGCTGAGTTAACATTTTAAAGAATGTTAAGTTTAGTGGCAAATCTTTAATTCCATCACTTGGGAAGCTGAGTCAGATGATCACAAGTTCAAGGTTGCACACACAAAACAGCAAGTTTTATACCAGACAGGACTGTACCGTCAGACAGTCTCAAAGCAGAAAAGGGAAGGAAGGGGAAGAAAGAACATCCCATGCAGGAAACTGTCATTTCACAAAAATGCCTTTCATTAAAGTCATGTGAGCAGAGTGATCTGTGGAGCTCTGGCTCAAACAGTGATGTACATGTAGAACAGCATCTCACTCTTATCTAGTACCGTTTTCTTCTATTTAGGAGGTCATAAAGCTGTCCACAGTAGACTTCATAGAAGCTGATCCACACAAAGAGGTTCCTTCTTGATACTTTCAGCTGCCTGAAGATGTCTTTGGCGGCCAGAGCATACAATCCTGGGATTTGATGAGTTCCTATCATGGTATAGGTTTTCCCAGCACCTGTTTGTCCATATGCAAAGCAAGTGGCATTGCCTCTGGGGGAAAAATAATTAGAATTACTTATAAATATTTAAAGAAGTGATAATTTACATAGAGATGCTTAAAAACAAGTCAGGAAGAAACAGACTCTTTGAAGAAATCTAGCATATAATTCTTTAAGAAGAATCTATAAAAAGGCTTATATTATGAAAACACAAAAAGTAAAAATATCTTCAGACCATGATGTGTTTTCTTTGTTTGTTATTTTGTTTTTTTTAAGATTTTATTTATTTATTATGTATATAACATATATCTGCACACCAGAAGAGGGTACCAGATCTCATAATGGATGGTTGGGCGCCATCATGTGGTTGCTGGGAATTGAACATTCAGGCTCTCTGGAAGAGCAGTCAGTGCTCTTAATCTCTGAGCCATCTCTCCAGCCTCACGATGTGTTTTCTTAAAGGAATTCTTTTACAGAACTGATAATACTACATAAGATAACTATTGAATATAAGGAAATAAGGACTTTAAACACAACTTGAGCTAGAGATATAGCTCAGTTTGTAGAATGCTTGCTTTACATGTAGGAAAAAATGA